AGGGAAGTGGAGGGGATCAGTTGGGGGGGAAAAATGGGACACCTGTAATACTTTCAACAATAAAGATCAATTAAAACAAAACAAAACATTATCACCCTATGTGCTGTTACTATTAGGGACTCTTCTCTAAGACACAGTACTTTCCATCACTCATAGTACATAGTTTAAACCTCTTACCTTAAAATTCTTGAAGCCTGACCCAGTAGCCCCTATCTCTCAAATCTTATCTTTAAATATTCAGATTCTATGAATCTCAATTCAAGGAAAGGTAATTGCATGTCATCTAATCCAACTGTCCCTCTGCTTTGATAATTATATTTTAGTAAAGGTTGCTGTATATGAAATTCCATATTTACGAATTTGGCTCCTCGCTGAAATTTTAGCCTCCAAATCAGTACTTGCAGCATGTTCGTGTCATTCATGGACATGCTCAGAGCAGCGAGACCTGTGAGCTGCCCATGTGGACATTTCCAACTGAGGTTGAATAAGGTGACATTATGCTTCTTGTTTCAGCTCTCCTACTATAAGTAATTGTCCTTTTCACAGTCTATTTAGAGCTACCTTTTTTCACATTTTTGTGCCTCTGTTGGAGATTTTGCTGTTTAAAATGGCCCCTAAGTGTAATGCTGAAGAGTTTGTCTTGTGTTCCCAACTGCAAGAAGGCTGTGATGTGTCTTACAGAAAAATGTGTTAGATAAGCTTTACTCGGGCATGAGTTACAGTGCTACTGGTGTGAGTTCAATGTTGATTAATCAACAGATATACAGTAAATAATAAAGAAGGTATCTTTCAACTGAAATACATATGAAACAATATTATATATTGATCCCTTAATGAAAATGTTATAACCAAACACTCAAAGGAAAATAAATTTGTATTTCCACCAGGGGAATGATTCAGCATTCACTAATTCAGTGTTTGTGGTGACTGTACAGAACATAACTACCGTAAGTATTGAGACTGACCACGTATGTGTGTGTGAGTATTCGGATACATATATATATATATGAATTATTTAAATATATGTGTATATTTATGTATATAATTAAATCTTCATCCAGTGGTGGATATAAAAAGTGCATACACATATATGCCCTCATTTAAAGAAATAGGGAAAGAAAAGAGAGAAGAGTATTAGAGGGAGAGAGGAAAGAAGGGAGTGACAGAGTTTGAGCTTTGTACCATTTTGTGGATTATTTCCCTCATTCCAAACAATTTTGTCGAGATTCTGCAATGTTATCCTTTTTACAGGTGACAAAAATGAATTTGGATAAATTAAGCTCCTAAGGAGTCCACAGATAGCAAGCAGTAGAAAGGGATTTAAATTAGGAAATCTGACTCCAGTGACAACTTAATTATTTTCTACCTTAATTGACCATAATCTGTGTCCCTAATTATAAATCGTTAGAAACGCAGGGAAAGCAGCTACCTGGAATGGACTGGCAGATATCAGGATAAGAGAGGAGAGCTATAAATCTGATTAAACTCTCTTTTGTATGTTTTAGGTCTTGTCACCTTTCAAAGAAGCTTTTCATGAATGAAGTCAGGAAGGGTTAGTCACGTAGAAAATGATTTCTGACACTGGTCCTCTCAGATGTAAAAGGGCAAAAATTAGGTCAAAACATGAAAAAATATAGATAAGGTTAATTGGGAAGCTTTTCCTTGCATTACAGAGCCTGGGTCTTGAAGTCAGGCTCACCTGAATTCTAATGCAAGCCTGCTCTTTCCTTAGCACATACAACTGGGGCCAGTTAGGATTAATTTCCCTATCTATAAAACAGGTACAAAAATACTCACCTCATAAGGGATTGTGGTGGGAGATTAAATGAATCAGAATCTTTAACACACTTAACAACAGTGTAATAGTTAACAGAAAGTATTCAAAAGGGCAATTACAACTGTTAATAAAAGTGGTTTTAATAGAACTATCCTATTGCCTCCACTGAGGTTCATCCTCAGATTGAACTAAATATTCCAAATTGCCAAAATACTTTAAGAGTTTTATAATCACAACATTTTTTGAAATCTAATAGGAAACAGAAGGAAAACAGGGACTAAAAGAAGCAAATCTGATATCACACAAGGAATTGATGGAAACATTCAACTCTAAAATGATTTTCCCTCAAGTTAGATTGGAGGTGCAGAATTTAAGAATGCTAAAGAATACTTGTTCCTCAAAGCAGTTACAGGCAACTTTGACAAGCCAAAAGAAAAAAATAAAATAAATTAAAAAATCAAGCAGCTGAGCAAAATTCCTCCTGTCTCTTTCCCATGTCCTTCACTACAAAATCTGTTATTTAAGCATGTGAGAAATCACTCTGAAAAACACAGGGCATGAGTTTCTCTGAACTAACAATAGAAAAAATTAATGACTTTTAGAATGAAAAGATTGTATAGAAATTTTAGATATCTTACTTTTCATGAATGAGAAGAAAGGACCTGAATATCCCAACACCTTAGATTTCTCACATTTTCTAATGACTTTGAACTAAACTTATATGCTCTTTTATAACCAATGTGTCTTCCTAGACCACGTTTCTTCTTCACGTAATTCTGTTAGAAAGCAGTGCCCAGTGTCACTTACCCACTGTTGATGTCATCCGTCCTAAGACTTTTCCCCAGGATATCTCCATCGCTCATATATCCACCCACATCAACTTCAGAGGTCATGTCCAGGTCACTGCTTGCTTTCTCACTCATGTCAATTTGTGACATGTTTCCCAGCCGAGAGACAGCAGCTCGACGGAGAGGCGTTGTGTACATGAACCTGGAGGGGTCCGTGTGGATGAACCGACTGGTACTGCTGCGAGGGTAGCCAGCACCCAGGGAGGGAGCATCTCCAGCCTGCAGCCGGGGACACGCCTGGCCCAACCTCCAGGTCATAGGGGTGGGTCGGCTTGTCAAGTTGGGTATGGTCCTCCCATTCACTTCCGTTGTCACAGTGCTGTCAAATGTTGTCTCCAGGGTGCTGTCAAATAAAATAGAGACATAACTGTACCCTGGTTCACGTGGAGCCACTGACCAAGAATGTACAAGACCGGAAAAGCTGGAATTAAGTCATTTCTTAGAAGAATATCATTTTCATCAGAGCCAAATTACACATTCATGAGGAGATTCTAAACAGCTCTGCAGGTGTTAAATTGTAGGAAAGGACATTCGTTAGCAGTTTTTTTCCATTTTTGCTTTCAAAAGGAAGAGCATGATTACAGTTTAGATTAAACAAAACATTGTTTCCCATTCTCAACAACCATTCAATTTACCTTACTGCAGCCTTCCCAGAACTATTCTGGAAGTTAGCTACAAGGATGTTTGAAAGTCTCTCTACACTCCTCCTCAGATGCATTTCAACAGCAACTTCCCCAACTGCTCTTTAAGGCAGGCCTGGAAGGCTACTCTGTAGTGATGGTGGTACTTTCAGTAGCTAATTCAGTTTGAATGGGAAATTACACTGAAAAAAGGGTGGACAGGAGGAAAAAAGTCCCAGTGTATGTCCTGGTGAAGTAACCAGTTGATTGTCATGAAATATTTGAGTGAGAAAATAGTAAAGGAAAACTAAACTTCCTTCTCTATCATTATAAGAAGTTAAGTGCCTGATTGTATTTTTTGTCTTTACAGGCCCCAAAATATGCAGAATTGAGGAAAAAACCTGTGGCTTATCTGGGTCCCACGAAGACTGGACATGGTCTCTTCTAAATTCTGCCTCAAATCTGCTATGTTTTTCACTGTTCGCATTCTTCTTGTTTCAGGGTCTTCACCTAGAATAGTAACTCACTTGTTATTCATGTCATTTACTGTCCCGAGAATAATTACATACATATATAAGTAATATAAACTATTTTCTTTAAAAGTAAAATGATAGCTGGGAAATTCCAAACAAATATTATCACCTAAAAATTATAATTCTTCTTTCTACAACTAAAATGTGAATAGAAACAAATATAATGTTACAAGTAATCATCTGAAGTGGTGATAATATAATAATACTTTGTAGGTCTATGACCTTAATCATTGCAAAATGAGAGAGTCATTTGGAGATACACTGTATACTACTCCATGTTACTGAGCTTAATTTAAAAATGTGAAATCATTTGGACTCAATTAATTATCTCCATAATTACCTATTTCTAAGTGTACTCAGAATAGACGAGATAAAGTTGCCTTATGTATCAAGTATACATTTGGACTCTGAGATAAGATAATAGGATGGAGGCCTTTTCTTATAGGAGCAGTATCTTTTTTTCTCTTCATTTTAATTGTTTTTTCCTCCAGTTAGTATGACTTAGTGCTTTCTCTTTGTTCTTCCTCACTTTGCTCACTAAAATCCTGGCTGGCAGTTCTATCAGTGGAACTTCCAAAGACTGCCGCATTCCTTGCATAAGGCAAAGGTAGTCGTGGGTTCATCGGGGCTGTGTCTGCCCCTCGTCATAGCTACAATTCTTCTTGCATTTGCTGCACTGGAAGAGGTCAGTGTTGGTGCCGCCTGTCTTGGCCAACTGGTGCTCACAGATAGCCTCCTGAGCCATGGCAACCTCAACTTCCTCGGCTCATCACTGACCATTTTCGCTGCTGTCATCTTGGCAACAAGGCTGGCAGAGATGTCCCGGCTGAGCATGGTCTGCTGCAGGGGGTTCCTGGGGCCATTGAGGTTGCTGATTTGGCTGTGCACATGCTTCTGGTAATTCATGTCTGAGCTCTTGAGCTCCTGTTAGACACCATATTCGATTTCTGATGCCATCTTGCCACAGTTGACTTTATAGTCCTTGTAATATTATCTGCCTTCAAGGCCGCTGAGAGCATCTCCACACACTTGTCCAGGACAGAGACCCCATGAGACAGCAGGGTGCCAAGAGGCAGATGGAGGAAGCAAAGGCGGAGCTCAAGGACTGTTGGGTGTTTTGGGAGGGGACTCTACTTTTGAGGTGCTGCTGTTTTATCTTCCCATCGATGGCTATTTTTGGAGAGGAGATGGCAGAGCACATAGAATCCACAGGGTCTCCACTGTCTTTGGGCTCTTCCCTCATTTTCCCCTGGGAGGAGAAAGGCCTGCCTCTGGCTTCCAACTGGAACAGTCAAACCCTTTTCTTTCTTTTTGGCTTTTCCTCTTTTCTTTCCTTTTTCTCCTTTGGGGAACCCAGAGGAGTCCAGCAGCTGCTTCCAGTTTTTGATGAGGAATTTGGCCAAGGACACTCCTCCTTATCTGGGCAGTGTTTTCAGCACTCTAATCCTGGTTGTCTGGGGCAGCTGGATGGACAGCTGGCAGCTGCTCTGCTTCTTGGGAAGCTGGAGGGCTTCTTCCCTACTCATGCTGGCTACCACCTTCTCCAGCTGCGCGGCGATCCTCAGCAGCCTCGCTGCCTGGCCCATGATGGCCCACAAAGCCCAGCGGGGTGAGGGGCGCGGGGGCAGTAACTAGGGCTCAGGGGTGGGAGGCACAGAGGCGGAAGGCATGCAACCCGGGCCAAAGCCGTACCTGTTTAAGTCTTGTATTCTGTTAGACTCACGGGCCAAGACTCACAGCATTGGGTAGCTGTATTTTTAATTATGTCTCTACTTTCTACAGGGAACAAAACACCCTCCCATATGTTGCACTCGAATTCTAGTAAAGTGCTAAGCATCTAAACCGAGAATGTGCCGTAATGCGGGTGAACAAACAGCTCCACCACAGTGACAGATGCTAGCCTTTTACAACCACTACTGTCATTTGAGGGCAGAGGTGCCATTAAACCGTTCTGTTTATGGCCAAGTAACACTTCCCAGGCCAGTGGCCATTTGAAGCTGATGTGTCTGGATAAGAATAACATGGCAACAGGGTAGAAAAAACAGTTTTCATTCTGTTTAATTTAGGCTCAAGAAGATGTCCAATGATGAGAAATTTTAATAAGAAAGAAGAAAAGAAGGAAGGAAGCAGTTGGATGATGGATGGATTAAGGGGAGGCGAGGTAAAAGGAAGGAAATAGAAAAGTGATGGAAGGAAAAGAAAAAGAGAAGGAAGAGTGGAGTTAGGAAATAGCATGTGTTAAATTCCACTGTGGAAACTGTCATAGAGAAATTTAAGATGCATATCTATGATCTGTGTTAAGAGCACGGGTAGATATTCAACCTGTTAACTGACTTCCACAGTACTCATGCCAAATGTTTCAGAACACACAACAAATGCACACATCTAACATTTATAATGTAATCATTTGTAGAGTTGGTGAGGATTTCAGAGATTGTCTCGCTGTATCTTTTAGCCGATGAATGAACTCATTTATGTCTCACTTTGGAGAAGGCCTCGTGCTTCTTCCTTTCCAGTTAAAGATGTCTCCTTCCAATATTAGACATGTTTCACTGTGAAAACATTTCTAAGGACGAGTAATAATTTGCCTCCCTTTAACCTTCACCCAGGGTCCCAGCGGCACTGAAACCAACTGAATATTTTGAGTGATTACCATGGCAGTCACTCACATACTGGAAGACAGCAACTGCTAATTCTCCTACTTTCTTTTTTAAAAAATATCTTTATTGATTTCAGAGAGAGGAAGGGGGAGAGAGAGAGATAAAAACATCAATGATGAGAGAATCATTGATCGAGCCCGCAACCGGCTCATGTGCCTTGAGAGGGAATCGAACCCTGATCGCGAATCGAACCCTGATCGCTTGGATCCCTGATCACTCAACTGCTGAGCCACGCCCGGCCGGGCTAATTCTCCTATTTTCTTCTTCACCCAAATATTACTACATTGTTCATTATTCCTCCTTCGGGATGGTTGCCAAGACAACCACCATTCTGCTGACAGTCTATAAATCTCTTCCTTTCAATTTACACATTATTCCAATGGTTAAAATATGCTTAATAATAGCATTATTATTTGAAAACATAGAAAGTATTGAAAAACTTCCTTAAGGTAAATATATTAAGAGATAGTAAACCCCATGCTGTGTCCTCACACGCACGGCATAAACTTTCCCTGCACTGGTTCAAGTCACACAGTCTCTAACCTTATAGATCAACGTTCTTTTAAATGCAGAACTCGAACCACATTCTCCCTGGAAACTCTTTCCATCCTTCCCTTCATAAAAATAACACAGCATATTGGAGAAATGGCTGGAAAGCAGTCTACCTTCTACTGCCTAATAACCTGGCAGAACCCTGAAGAAAAAGGAGGGTTTTGTAAGGAAAGTCTTAAAGGGCAGAAAGAGAACGTCATTACAGTCAAAGGAGAGACAGGGGAAGAAGGTCTTGTACTCAAAGTGGACATAAGAAACAGTGAAGAGACAAATTGGGAGAAGTGCCAAAGCCAATATTTGTAAGATGTCACAGGGTATGGAAGCCTTTGATTCTCAGTGAAGGTGAGAGGAGGAGTCTTAGAGGAGGAGGGTACTGAGAGCACCCTTTTTGGAGGGGGCAGGGGTGCTAGTGTTCACCTTACACAAGTTCCTGGCATACGCCTCTCCCCCTGATACCCTTCCTTCTGGGGGAACTTTTAAGTGATCTCAACCACTTGCCAACTGGCATAATATTAATAACATTGATATCTGAATTATTTTCAATATCTGTTTTGCATAAATTTTAAGAACAGTGTATTTTAAGATATTCCCTTTTACTAAATCCCCCCCGCCCCCCATCTTCATCTCTTTAAATTCCCTTCTTCCAACAGGCATCTTAGATCCTTGGAGTCTTCTAGCCAATTCCATTATTTGTTTGCATAGCTTCCCTCAGGTTTCAGAACCATAATCCAGCCCCCCTTTGGTTTTTCTCATCAGGATATCCACTCATGACACTGCACCACTGATAACAATCAGACAAATGGACCTTTTCCTCCCAGCACCTATGGAGCAAAACATAATTGCTGCCTCGTTCATGTCATGAAAGATAATAGCCAAACTAAAATTTATTGCAGTGCATGTTCTCAATGATCTACAAAAGACAAGATGCAATTAAACGCACTTACAAACCCTCTAAGGATTGCTCACATCTGAAATATCCTGTAAATTTTTATCCAAATAATGTCTAGAGAATTGGGGGTGGAGAGGGAATTATAATTAAAAAGGTCTAATGTAAAAGCACAAACAAAATCAATATCTAGTAACAAAAGTTAGCAGAAAATCGCACAGGAAGAATTTACTGTCACAAAAATGTTGTACCCCTCTCACTTCCATAATCTCAAAGCCAAATATTGCTCCTGAAGGAAGCCCCTTAAGTGTCAGACACAGTAGTAAGGGCTTACACATATTTTCCAGAATTGTAAATTCTGCAATTCACTTGGAGTTTGTAGCATTGGTACAAACTGTTCTCTCATGCTTGTAAGGTCTCCTCTGTGAGTAAGGCACAGGATAGCAGGCTCCATTTGGTGTTTTTGAAATTTTACTTAGTAGCAGACGGACCATTTAATCTATGTGGTCCTGCTCTTATTTTTTAGGCTTTAATTAAACACATTATTATTAACACTGCCAGCACTGTCATCTTTCAACAGGAAGTCAAATTACATATGAATGAGCCTGATTCACAGAGAATTATGTCCTTATACCATCCACATTACAAATGTTACTTCTTAGGGTAGAGCTCCCTGATTTATTTTGAGAAATAACCCTAATTTTGTGGATGACCCCAACAGTGATTTGGATTGAAAATTTTCAGCTCATCAGTTAGCTTTTAAATATACTCCTATAGAGCTATATAGTACAGAACCTCATCTGTCTGATTTTTTAGGATATCCAAGAATAAAGAGTTGAACTCAAGGAACCCAGACTAAAAATTAACTTGGAAGAGGCC